GGTTGCCGAGTTGAAATATCCGGACAGACGAACACACACACACACACACACAAACATACACACACAGACAGGGTCGTCGCAGTATGCGTTTTTACAACTTGTATATAGGCAAAAACACATAAAAACAAATAACCATGCACGCTGAAGATCCACGCAGTCCCACTATGCAACACTTTCATCACAGCCGATGCTTTTGCTCCCCGCACCCGGAAAGAGACCAAAACACGCCAGTATGAGTTCAAGTGTTAAACTGCAGCGCACGAGCCATTCCTGCTTTTAGCGATCTGCAAGTTCAGCGCAAAAACGCATGATCGCACCGGCAAACCTGGTGCATTACAGACTGAGTTTAATATCTACTCATTCGTCAGTTATCAATAATTATCATGACTACTGGAACAGTCGATGCGGGGGATCTATGTTCATGATTATTACTGGGATACTTTCAGATGCTGGGCGCATTTATGCCAAAACTTTTTGTCCTTAGCTATATACCATTAATTTGAACTCCTCGCCTGTTCGATATTCTTGGTCGATAATTCACTACTGCTGTTTCTTGTTTTCAGTTGTTTACTTTTAAATAAGCAGCCTTTAAGGATAGCAAACATACACTGAAAAAGTGATGGGTACTAAGTGGAAATATGCCCGACATAACTGGGCTCGACGCTTGGGTGCACTCCAGTAATATCATCAGTGTCGGACCCTAACACTGATTGCTCCACAAGGATTTTGGCAATTCTTATTAGAAATTTAATTGGACCAACGTCCCTTAGCCCTGATTTTTCGAAAAAGTAATAAAATAATCAATAGTTCAGGATTGAATCTGAAGGGCTGAAAGAGGATTCGGTTCTTGTTGCCGGCGCCTTCAATGCTCAACTGTTCGAAACACAACTTCTCAGCGTATGTAATTAATATGTTCAAAAAGAAATATCGGATAATTATCTTGTAGAAAGCAGTGAAATGCAACCTTCTACTAAATGAACTGCATTGATTTAGGACATGGCGGACACGCAAAAAGCAACCAGCTACGCAAAAAAATCTCCGGATGGCAAACTGGAAGGCATCGAGCAGCGTGACCGCCGTGGCCGGGTGCTTCATTTTCCTTTTTAATGCGTTTTTTACTGCAATAGTTGCATAAAGCGCAATGTTGTTGAGACCCTGTCAATGCGTGTGTGTATGTGTGTATGTTCCAGATGCGTTTTACTCTGAATTTTTAACTCGAGATCCAAGAAAGCCAGGAAGCTTCAGCACCCACGTACACCTGGGTCTTGCGTACGTATACGTGAGAGCTTTAGCGTAAAATTCCTTACTTGGGGAACCGGTATGATGGAAAGCCGAAGATTTATCATGATGCCTCCTTTCAATTTACAGTCCTGGAACTTCAAATTCAGCTTTCATGTATTATATACGAAATTTTACGTGGCAAATTTTTAACTCAGGAACAAGACAAAACAGGAAACTAAAATTGTTGGGGGATATTTTCTGCTCAAATACAATTCTATAAATTAAAATCCAGCTCTGAAGAACGCCTATTTCTCATGTAAGGGTATGCGGAATTTTCGGTGGGAAATTTCGTAGCTCCAGAACTGAATAAACATCCCGGCCATTTTTGTGCACACCAAGAGCTACAAAGCAGTAAAACAGCAAATATCTACTGGGCAGAACTGCTCGCACCGACTGCTCTGGTACGCGCCGCTATTCATTAACAGTCCACTTATTGCACGACTTCTTTTAGTGTTTAGTTTGAGCTGTCAGGGTTGTGCAGCCAAAAGTCGAAAATACCAAGGTCTTATTTCAATTTCTGTAAACAAGCGCTTTGAGCAACAGTGAATTTTTGCACATCTTCGCATCATTTGTACATCAAAAACACAAAGCAAGATTATAGTATGTATGTATATATGGGCTCATGCATGTATGTAAATTTAGGGAAGTAGATAATGCTGTTTAAAATCCTAATATCAGATTATCCTGATCTATCTTTTTAGGTCTCAGTTCAGATTAATTTTACAAATTCATAATCGAGCTGAAAACAGGAATTAGGCTTGTTGCTTACAGTGTAACGTGGTATTAATGGACAGAAATTATCTTTCAAAGTCCAGTGTTTTTCGAACTGTAATAACCGAGCATCCAAAGTGAGGAAGGATATATGCAGCCAATGATTCCGAGTTTAGTTCACAATGAGAATAACTGAAAGTAGAGTTTACAACTTACAGGGTCCTGATCTATGAATTCATGTTCAAAATAGTGGTGCGCGACAGGGTAGCCGGTGCGATCATGCCCTTTGCGTAGTTCCGTTCAGCGGACGTTTGCTGTTAAAAATTTTCATTGTATTATATCTCGGTGTATGCAGAAATAGTCGATGTGTTGCCAATTTCCTAAGCTGGAAAATTTCTCGGTAAAAATTCCACCTATCGGTGTATGAAACGTAAGCGTATGTGAAAGCCGGATTTGTTACCTTTGGACCATACATGAATTAGAAAATTTCAAATCCTTCGTTTTCTGGCTCCCGCATTAGTGACTTTTGTGCCAAAAATTTCACTTGACCATACGTAGGACTTGGCCAGACGTGGGAGTTGAATTCGAATTTGTGAGATCCCTGTGTAGGCAGAAAAAATCCGCTTGAAATCTCAGCTCCCTAGCTCTTCTGGTCCCCGAGTTGGCAAATTTTCTGACCAACACGTTCACACGCCGAATGTGACACCTAGGCGTACGTGAAAGCTGAGTATGAATCTGCGAGGTTGCACGTGAGCAGGGAATATTCCCCTGAAATTTCAACTTCTAGGTTCTTGTGGTTCCTGAGATAATAATTTTTCCCGTCAAAATTACTGTTCCAGCACAGAGTACATAAGTTAATATTACCCCTCGAACGAAACATATTATAAATCTGAAGTTCCCGTATTTTTCGTCCAGTGAGTAAGATTTACGACTTTTTGATGCATTTGCCCATTGTGAGTGTATCAAGAAACGCAAATAATGTTTTAAGAAGGTTTATTACATGCAGCCATCCATTTTGAATCCATAACAGCTTTTCGTAAAAATACGTAATCGCGCTGGACCTTGGTGCGCATCGCTGTTTATGTCGAACTATTTTGAACTAACAAACTTAGCAAGTTAAAAGTATACAGGCAATACACTTGACTGCATCATAGTTACGTGGCTAGCCTGGATGAACGAGGGGAGGTGGCGGGGAAGGGCGACGGAGGGGGAGGTGGAGGGGAGGGGAGAAGGGAGGGGAGGATCTTTACACAAAAATGCCTGCTTGCACAAAGAATAATGTAAGGGCAATTGAGTCTGAATGCATGTAAATTCAAGAAGAGAGATAAAAAAACTGTAATTCTGCCACGCTGTATTAGCAGAAGGCGACTAAGAAAAGACGGGAATAAACTGCATTAAAAAAGGGAACTGAACTCGTAAACAATGAATTTTTTTGTAAAAATCAAAAAAATCCCTTACTTAAGAAGGTAGAAGTAAAACAGTGTTATACCTTAGTTATCCACGAACATTACTTTGACAAGGGATAGCGCTTTTATCGGTTAAATAAGCGAATTTACTTGATGTGAAAAGCTACTTTAGCGGAATTTACAAAGACCACTGTTGTCTTACGTTTTCTCTTACGCAATGGAGAATTTGATTGTTGCAGAGCGTGCTAACGGTGGAAACGCATCGTTTTGATCTTCATTCTATACACGACTGGTTCTTCCGCCTTGGAAGAGGACAAATGGTCAAGAAATACAATGGTGAACTTGCGCAGGTTGTTTTTGCCGGCAAATTGCTGGAGGAATCTGTATTTTTCCAGGTAAGGCTTAGGTTTTTTCGAGGAATTCGTGAAACGGCAGTCGGAAAAATCTGAGCCGCAGTGCTGCCGAAATTTTGTATCGGCAGTTCAGTATTCTGATGTTTCATGCAAGTTCGGAAATGTCGAAGTTCCGAAGAGTAAAAAGATTACAATTTCTACAGCCATCGCGTCATTATGGGATCAGCAAGCTGACTGGGAAGGAGGAATTTATGAAGACGCTATGTCCTGCCTGGGCCGACCGAGTTTTATACAACGAGAAATTGAGCGATTTGTTCAGACATGTAAGTTATTTAACATATCCATTATTTGTGGCAAAAACTGCAAGTGTGGTGGTGGTGCAAATGTGCGGCTAGTGACACCGAGTCCCCACTGCTGGATTTGAGTTCCACAAACAACCGGTACTTCATTCTGTAAGTCAGTTATAGCTTTAATTGAAAAACAAAGTCATGTGTTGTGGCGCATCTGGATTTTTAAGAAACTGAACTTCGCCTGAGAACCAAAACCACGCCACTGGCAACTCACCAGAAAACACTACTGGCCATAAGTAAAAAATAAATAGCGAAGCGCAGCAGAACAGCCGATGCGTCATGCGTTTTGCACATTTCCAACCAACGAACGTTTTTTACTGTTTTACATTTGGTCTATGAAAAAACAGTAGGTGTGCTGTTTGGTTCCTAAGCCGCGAAATTTTCTATTAAAAAATTCCCGTACCAGTACTTGGACCGCAGATGTACGCGAAAGCTGAATTTGAAGCTTTGGGTGCTGAACACTGTTTCAAAATTTTAACCTTCTAGTCCTTTGGTTCCCAAGCAACATTCGCACTACAACTTTCGTCGTCATACTTGGGAGCTACATTTTAGTTTATTAGGCCTCTGCATAAGCAGAAAACATCTTCTTGAAGTTTTCAGTCTCCCTGCTCTTCTCGCTCCCGAGATAATTTTTCCCGCCAAAGCTTTCACGAGCCCGTATGCGAAACGCAAGCGTATGAAAAAGCTGAATCTAGATTTGCCAAGTTGCACGTGGGCCCCCTGAAATTTCAGTGGTCCCCGAATTAGCAATTTTTCCCGCCAAAATTTCTATGAAGCTGTATGTGATACCGGGGCATGCGGGAAGGCTTAATTTAAATTTGATGGGACGTAGGGAGGGAGCAGGGGACGCCTTAACATTTCAGCTTTCTAGCTTCTCTGGTTCCCGAATTGAAACTACCAGATAAAATGCACTCGGAACACACATATAAACACAAGTACACAAATGTGCACAGGGAATATTTCAGTGTGTCAAATACTTCAATTTGTTGGTATGTAGAATATGCCAAATGCATATTTTACATTTTGTAAAACATGTGTTTGACATATTCTACAAAACGTAAAATATGCGTTTTGTCCAACTGTTGCAGTTACAATATGCGTCTTTTGTCCAGCTGTTACAGTTACTGTTACAGCACAAAACGCACAATGACCCTGCCCCTCTAGATCCGTGTTTCTTCACAGCTGGCTTCGTAGAGGCTCCCGTCCTGCGCCTTTTCTAAGAAGCCAAGAGATGCGCTACAAAAGTGCGTCACTCACTCAGTACTGTAAATTAATTTCATTTTCAGGATTCGTTTTGCGCATCCGGCTTATACTATGGCCTGGTGGCAGAGAAGAAATTTGTTGGGCAACATAAGCCAGTAGCGCTGCATGCCACAATATGCCTGAAGTGACAGTGATGTGTCTTCCACGCCTTATGCAAGCTATTGCTCCCTCCCCAACAAAGTAATCTTATTTTGCATACGAACGAATTCTAATGAAACTGTCCTGCTAGCTTATTCTGCTTTGTCCATGCATGCTTACCAGGCAGTGAGGCTCACTACTGCGTGTGTGTGAGGATGAGAATGAGACTGAAAAATGGCCAGCTAAGTTATGTAACGCATATTCTTCCCAATCTCTCATTTCACTTCTAAATAACATCTCATCGCTGTGCAAATGTCGCCTCCGGTATCCAGAATTCAACGCCGGCTACCGCCAATTCAGCTTCACTGTCTCGCAGCAGCGCTATCTGAATGATTTGCGAAGTAACTCCGAAAGACTTTAAATTATGCTGATGGATCGAAATGACTGTCTTGAGTTCACATTATTCCGGTAACATTCATGTGGTCTTTGATGCCTACCAGTGACTGCCATAAGATAAATATGTTTCCTGCGCGTAACAAACCAGACTGCCCACTCGGTGAACCACTTAAACACGTGATTTCAGCGAAGAGCTGCAATACGATTCAATGCGTACTAAGACTCTTACTGAGAAAACAGAAACCGCCGTATTATAAAAGAATGCACAGTTGGAGGCAAAGTCTTGCTGACAAAATGCTGTGACGGAATATTCCAAGTTCTGTTATAATCTGGTGTCGGAATTGGATGTACCTAGTTTTTGGAATTAGATGTTATAAAATGGGCTTGAAAATACAAGCATACACCGAGGCTTGATTTCATGTTTTTGGCCCAAAATGTCAGGTGAATTAATCATCAAAATTCTCAGCTGGTGGTTTACCTGGTTGTCGAGTTACAAATTCTCTGTGAACTCAAGGGTGAGGCCATAAGTCAGAATAATGCAGAACATGGAAGTTAGTTTCACAGTATTTTCAAATCACTTAGCGAATTAATTCGTCAATGCTTTTTTACTTCCCGCGTCAGCGCATTGAAAAATTAGCCCAGACTTGAGTCAGAAGTGCAGTGGATTCAGGGCACACCTAATACTCGGACCTGACTTCTGTTTAACTGCTCCAAACTACAAAACCCAGGCTGGAACGCACCAGCCGAGCCGGTGCGATTATGCGTTTTTGCACTTTTCGTGCCGTAGCAAGATCGCAAAGAATCAAAGTAGCT